TGCCAAAGAATATATGAGGATGAGAAATAAGTTTATGAAAAGATGATATGCAAATTTAAAAAAACTACAATACACCAGTTCACACTAGATTGGCAACAGAACACAAACTGACCATTTTAAGTGCTTTTGGGTGAAGACGTGGACCAACTGGAACTCATATATTCTTGGTGGGAACACAAAAATAATTCAATTACTATGGTAACTAATCTTTTGCAGTTTACTATAAAGTTAAACATATACTTATCGTAGGAGCCAGGATTCCATTCCTAGTATCTGCCCAAGAGAAACCTGTGTTTCACACAAACACCTACACATGAATAGCAGCTTTGTAATTGCCCCAAATTGGAGAAACCTAACACTGAATCCCTTTCCACAGAAGAAACCTATGTGTATTGTTTTAATAATGGACCCCAACTTGTTCAGGTCTCTTTGTGATTTTTTGAATTGTGACATTGCCACCAGTTGATTTTGGTTTTGCCAGTGAACAACAGCCTCTGGTGGGGTACTTGTGCATTGGAGTTACAGTAAAGGGGACCTGGCCCTAGCGGGTCTGCTTAGGGCCAGCCTGCAGTGTGTGGGTTCTTGACTTCAAGCAGGAAAAAAAATCACAACAGGAGCCCAGGAGAATTTTAGAGGATGTTTATTAAAGCTAAGAGGGCAGTAAAACAAGGAAGAGCTGAGGAATGAACCTAGGCTGTGCTGCTTTGGCTAAGAATTCAGAGAACAGGGGACAGATTCAGGGGGTTTGTCTGGTATGAACTGCCACTGCCCTTTGCTGCCTTGGTTGCAAGCCTTGTGGGGTCCTTAAAGTTTAGGAGATGCATGCCTGTGTGTAAAGAAGGTGGAGAGGGGTTGAGGGTGGGGGTGGGGAGAGCACAGGCATGCTTCTGTGAGGGAGAGCAGGCACTGGCACTTTCATTTTGAGAAGTTTTAAAGGCTAGGCATATAGGGGAGGTCTTAGGGAGGATTAATAGAATATTCATCAGCTTTATGCTGATGCACCAAAATGAAATTTATTCTCTCAACTTCATCTGTCCTTGAGTATGGTTGGCAAATGGCACAAATTGGATTTCTACTGTCTCCCTGAGTAGGATGATTTAAGCTATTTACCTTCTGGTTGGGGAGAAGTGCAAACCATTTACTCTAAGCATCCCTGGTTTAGGGAAGATAGGCTTTACTAGGTGGCTGCAACTGCTGTTTAACTATGTCTCAGTTTCCCTATTCTGCTTGTTCTGGCTTACTGGCCTGTCTCTTTGGGACTTCTCTCTTGCAGTTGGGAACCCCTCTGTCACCATGTGAAGAATCTAATGTGAAGTCCCAACAAGCTGTAGCTCAGCAGCTGAGCTGGCCTAGATCCTAACTACCTAGCCAAACCATCTACATATATAAAACCCTAATATGCAAATAGACCCAATGATGGAACAACCAAACAACTGAACAACTGCTCACTATGACCTGCACTGACCACCAGGGGGCATGCACAGAACATGGCAGGTGTTGGCTGTGGTGGGATGGTGGAGTAGATGAGTGGGGGGTGGGAGGGTGAGAGGGGGAGTGGGAGGTGGGTGGGAGGTGCACCAGACCAAGGCAGGACACTGGTTGCTGTCATCAGGGCGAGCCTCTGGTGGTTACTGAAAATTCTTCGCTCCCACAACAGCAAAAAACAAAACAAAAAAAACAACAACAACAAAACACACAAATAAATGTGACCCTAAGAGTAGCCCAGCCCTGTTGGGGCTTTGGTTTGGCATCGTCCCAGTGCATTAAGGGATTTCCCATTCAATCCCCAATTGGGGCACATATGTAGGTTGTGGGTTCAATCACTAATGGGGAGCAAGCAGTAGGCAGCCAATTGATGTGCTCTCATATAGTTTCTCCCTCCCTTTCTGTCTTTCTCTATCTAAAAATCAATTAAAAAATTTGAAGTCACCTAAACTATCCTCCGTTTGAATTATAACAGTGGCCATTTTTTATCCAGAGTGTTACTACCAGCAATTATTTATTGAGAGCCTTTCTTGATGTAAAATGTTTATTTAATTTAGTATCTCATAATGCTATACTGATTTTTTTCTACCAAAAAATATCACCTCTTTGAGAAAAGGAACTAGGGCTATGCATAAGTTACGTGCTCAACTTACCTGTTATAATCAATTATGTGCCTAAGAAGATTAGATTTATAATTAAATACAGTTAACTTAAAAAAAAATGGGGCTCAAATCAAACCAAAACAATTAAAAACCAAAGGGTTAAGTTTCCCAGAAACCTTGAAGTCAAACTGAGTAATCCCTACTCTATAAACAATTAAGAAGAAACAAGTCTTTTCCCCTGCATAAATGAAATATAAAAAATTACATAACTGTTTCCAGACTAAATTCATAAACACATTAAGATTCATGATATTTCAATGAAAAGTGAATAAATATCAGGAAGTTCACATTGATAAACAAGAACAATGCTTTATTTGGTTGAATGATCAGTTGTTTATAGTAGGAAAACCCAATTCCTTATACAATACTGCATTTTTGTTATAATGAGTAATTTAAATGTCTTTTTTCCTTTCTCTTTCAGACTACATATACACCTAATATCTTTTGTTTGTTGTTAATCCTCACTTGAGTATATTTTTTCCATTGATTTTTTAGAGACAGTGGAAGGAAAGGCAGAGAGTGAGAGAAAGAGCATTGATGTGAGAGACACATTGGTTGCCTCAGGAGATCAAATCTGCAACTTCTGCCAGCACGGCTCAGTAGTTGAGCCTCAACATATGAAACAGGAGGTCGAAGTTAAATTCCTGGTTGCCAGCATGATCCCCAGTATGAGATGTGCAGGAGGCAGCAGATCAATGATTCTCTCTCATCATTGATATTTCTACCTTTCTCTTCCTTTCTGAAATCAATAAAAATATATTTAAAAAAAACCCTGCAACCCAGGAATGTGCCATTGACTGGGAATTGAACCTGAGACCCTTGCGTGTGAAGGCTGATGATCTAACCATTTAGCAACACTGGCTGGGCTACACCTATTATCTTAATATCATTTTTTAAAATATATTTTTTTGTTTCAGAGAGGAAGGGAAAAGAAGAGATAGAAACATTAATGAAAGGGAATCACTGATTGGTGCTTCCCGCAAGTTGGACCAAGTTGGCAACCTAGGCATGCAACCCTTGAATGGAATTGAACCTGGGCCCCTTCAGTCTCCAGGTTGACAGTCTATCCACTGAGCCAAACCGGCTAAGGCAGTGGTCGACAAACTCATTAGTCAACAGAGCCAAATATCAACAGTACCATTGAAACTTCTTTTCAGAGCCAAATTTTTTAAACTTAAACTTCTTCTAATGCCACTTCTTCAAAATAGACTTGCCAGGCTATGGTATTTTGTAGAAGAGCTACACTCAAGGGGCCAAAGAGCCACATGTGGCTCTAAAATCAGTTTGCTGTCCACAGGGCTAGGGCATTGATTACAGTTTTATATACATACATTTTTTTTTAAATCCTCACCCGAATATATTTTTCCATTGATTTTTAGAGAGAGTGGAAGAGGAGGAAAGATGGAAATATTGATGTGAGAGAAACATATTGATTGGTTGCCTCCTTCATGAGCCCTGACCAGGGAGAAGCCAACCAAAGTACATGCCCTTGATGGAAATCAAATCTGGGACCCTTCAGTCCACAGACTGAAGCTGTATCCACTGAACCAAATCGGCTAGGTAGTGGTTGGCAAACTCATTAGTCAACAGAGCAGCAAACTGCGGCTCTTTGGCCCCTTGAGTGTGGCTCTTCCACAAAATACCACGGCCTGGGTGAGTCTATTTTGAAGAAATGGCGCTAGAAAAAGTTTAAGTTTAAAAAATGTGGCTCTTAAAAGAAATTTCTATCATTGCACTGTTGATATTTGGCTGTTGACTAATGAGTTTGCTGACCACTAGGCTAGGGCTACCTATTTATATTCTTTTTTAAAATATATTTTATTGATTTTTTACAGAGAGGAAGAGAGATAGTTAGAAACATCAATGAGAGAGAATCATCGATCAGCTGCCTCTTGCATACCCCCTTCTGGGGATGTGCCTACAACCAAGGTATATGCCCTTGATCGGAATCAAACCTGGGACCTCTCACTTCGCAGGCTGACGCTCTATCCACTGAGCCAAACTGGCTTCGGCTATATTTATATTCTTAAAAGAATTACTACATTGCTTTAGCCAGGTAACTCAGTTGGTTAGTGTTGTCTTGATACACCAAGGTTATGGGTTTGATCCCAAGTCAGGGCAATACTACATTGGCACACTTGAATTTTTATACCAAAAAAATGTCAAATTAACTATTAACCACAAAGCTGGCTGAATTCATGTCTTTCAGAAGCTACTATATTTATCATTTGTTCCATACGACAAATTTGGTTTCTATTTTCATTTATTTATATAGCACACCTAATTTTTCTAAGTGGACAGTGAATAGTTTATAAAACCTAGACTAGATGAGATCCAGGCCTTGAAGGTGTGCTTTAATTTAAAAAAAAAAAAAAAAATTAAGATGCCTTAAACTCTATAGCAGCAAATCCATTCTCAAAGCATTTCAAAAACCTGAAGGGCAGCCAAAACTGGTTTGGCTCAGTGGTAGAGCGTTGGTCTGAGGACTGAAAGGTCCTGGGTTTGATTCCGGTCAAGGGCATGGACATTGGTTGCGGGCACATCCCCTGTGGGGGGTATGCCGGAGGCAGCTGGTCAATGTTTCTCTCTCATCGACGTTTCTGGCTGTCTATCTCTCTCCCTTCCTCTCTGTAAAAAATCAACAAAATATATTTTAAAAAAAATCTGAAGGGCAGATGTAAGAATTTTGTTACTAAAAAAATAAAGCAAAATAAAAATTATTGTAGAGCTCACAAAAATTTCAGAGCAATGAAAACCTAGAACTGCCTCTTCATGGAGTTGTCCCTTAAAGAAGAAAGTTTTTTAGATATTTTCCAGAGTAGTTTGAGATGCTTAAAATAAATCACTGATATATAAAATAATAAAAATTCTTAGTACTTTTTATTTACAAATTAATTTCATAATCCAACTATAATAAGCATGTCCAAACAATAAAGAAAGTGATTGGCTTCCATCTCATTAGTGCTATAAAAATAAATCAGCACTGTGTTCTATTTTTTTACATAAAATTATAAAGTCTTTTAAAAAAGCTACTTTAGAATAATCTTCTAGTATGAAGTGAATTTCATAAAATATAAAATTTAGTAGTTTATAAATACTATAATTTAAATTAATTGAATTAGCTACAATTAATCTGTGGAAATACAGAGCACAAGTATGTCAATCATCCACAATTAGGTTTAACTATTATATACAAGAGACATTTTTCAATCATCAGAGTAAGACTTTATTCATATTCTTGAAAGGTAGCTTTGTTCCCAATAAATATTCTTTCTACCACTTCTGTAAACTGTAGGGAGATCACATTCCTAATATAAAAGGAAACAACATACAGCTATTTGACTTTTTGTTTTTTTCTTGCTTGAAACTGCTCTGTTTTGTTTTTTACCGATTTAATCAACATTGACAAGGCAGGATCAATGGACCTCTTTTGTGATTCCTTTTGAATTTCACTCTCTTTTTTCTTTATTGCCTGAGTTAGTTCTTGTTCTTTTTGTTCTCTTTGCCGGGCTTTCTCCTCAAGAATTTTCTCCATAGCTTTTGTTTTCTTGAAGTTAGGATCCGAAGGATCCAAATTGAATAAGTGGGAAGTATACATTGCCTGAAACCGTGAATCCTTAACATTTACCTGTAAATCCAAAAGGAAAATAAAAAGAAATTAAATTACTAAACCAAAAGGCCCAGAAATGGGCAAAATTTGAAGTCAATGAGTTGTTATTTGGGACCAGGGGATCACTTCATCTACCTAATAAAAGAGAAATATGCTAATTGACTGTACCTTCATGATGTTCACCAGCCAATCAGGAGTGACTACGCAAATTAACCCAATAAATATGGTAAGTAAATTTGCATATGCAAGCCCCGAGCGCGGAGGGGACGCGTGTGTTTGTCGCCATGGCGACAACACAAGTGTTTTGCACCGCCCCAGCTACTTGGGGCCTCTGGGCAGTGTGGGAAGGCAGTTTTCAGAATAAAAATTTTTGACTAAAAATCTCTTTTTAACTTTAACTTTTCATAAGAAAACCATTCACTGAAAAGTGCAAACAACATATAATAGAACTAACTTACTAGTATAGAAACGTGTACTACAGAATGGCCTAAAAGTCCCTCTATATTCTACTTAGAAATTATCTGTATGTACCTCTCCATTCTTTGAACAAATCAAAATTTCCCCACATTCTCTGAGTCTAGTCTTCCACATTAACAGGTGGAAGTCATTAAGTAGTTCCTGGCAGCTGTTTGTAGGTTTTCTGCATAGGGCTCAAACTCATGCATAAGGACTATGTGGTCATTAGGAATATGTATTTAGCAAAAAGAAGAAAAAGAGAGCGAGCAATGGAAACAAAAAAATAGCAACTAAAAAAGCATGGCTTACTGCACTGGCCACTAGCCACAGTGAGAGTGACACTGTGACATGAGCCTGCTATTTCTCAGTTAGGCTCAATTGGCATATTCTTCCCAAGTAAGCATCACATTGCATGTGATTCTAACACTGAAAGCTACATGTAGTGCAATATGGCTACCAAAATATAAGCTGGCTACTTCACGAGGAGCTCAACTGGCTGTATAGGACTAAGAGATGGTAATTTTGGCTCCATGGTCATTCCTAAGACACCCCAAAGCTGACTTTCACTATGTTTAATTTTTATCTCCAGACCTGACTCTAGAGTCAACACCAGTTTAAACAGGCTAATGACATCTGTCCCTAGTTACCTCAAAGTCATCCTCTAATAATTCCTTCTTTTTCATAAGCTGTTTTTTCTTCTTTTTGCTTAGATTCTGGTGCTCCACAATCTTGTTGTAATTGAAGTGTTTCTTGTTGTCTTCCTCCTCATCCATCATGAGCAAAGCCATTTCAGCCTACAAAGAGAAAAAAAAATTCAAATGTACAACAATGTTTTTCTTCCCCAAACAGGAATATGGAGTATGAAATGCCATCCAGGAAAGGAGAACTCAGTCACCAATGATCTAGGATAACATCTGTTATCTGTAAACTGATTGTGGATCACTGAAACTCACAAAGAATCCCAGAGATCCTTATACTGCTGTAAGCAACAGGTAAAAGCTTCAGAAGCAACATCACTGATAGCAGGAGAAAGGTGAAAGTCTGTATTTAAAACCCAGATTACCTCCCACGTTAGTATAACTGGTTAGTAGGCTGTAGGAATGAGTCCCCAAGTCACCCAAATAAAACTATCATTTTCACTTTGGTCTTTTACTGCAGTGATACTAAATATAGCAAATGTAGTATTTTGTGATACAAACTATTCTTTAAACATGTATTATTAACAAGAAATTTCTTTTTCTTCTGCCTTTTTTACCTTTATTGTTTTAATAGTGATATGTTTTTATGAAGTGATATATCTTAATATTTGCTTCTGAACTATATTATCTTTTCAACTAAAAAGGTGTTTTCTACCAACACACGATGGGATTAAATGTGAACCCTCAAGAACTAAGTAAACAATGATGTATACTAGAGAAAATACAGAATATACTGTCAGACTTTTGTGAATCTTGTAATATTACTACTTTAGACTGCTTTAATTTTCTTTTACTTTCATCACTGACACCTACAGTTGGCATTCTTTTTTGAGCCATTATCCATAAGAGATAATCTTTGTGCTCCTTAACTCTATGAGTATTCCTGTGTATGCAAAAAATGGAGAACAGAAAAGATACATTAAAATGCAGAGTTTAGGTGACCAGCCAGGCTCACTCCCAAATACAGATGTGAATGTCAGTCATAGGGATGTTGTTGGCTCCAATTCATGCCTCAGCAAAAATACCTATTACTCTGTGCTATGGGTCTTTGGAGTCACTGAAGAAAAGGTTCACTGCACTTCAAAGAAAAGGCTTTACTTTTGTACATTAAGCTTATGATTTTTACAATAACAACGAGAGAAATTAGGACTTTATAAACCATAAAAAGCAAAGTCTGTACTATGGGATTCAGATGAACTTCATTTAAATTACTTATGATCGCTCACCTTTTGTTTCTCTATTTCAGCCTCCTCCTCTGGAGATGGGCCATCTGTTGCAGTTTTCACTGATTTCTTCTTTTCTTTTATAACAAACAAAATTGGAGAGTTAAAAATTACAAGACTATAAAAAAATATGTTAACAGTAGGAACAAAAATATAAGATATCTAGGAATAATCTTGTCAATAAATGTGTAGAAACTAGAGGACGTAAAAAATATTACTAAGATATTACTGAGAATGGAATAAATATAATACTTCTGGATGGGGTGTCTGAATGTTAAAAAAGCAAGTTCTCTTGAAGGTGATGTATAATTATATTATCAATTGAGAAAGAAAAACCGTAAGATCATTTCAATACATATAGAATAAGCATTTGATAAAATTCTATATCCAGTCATGATAAGATATATACATTTAGCGAAATTCTAGATAAAATTCCAATCACAGAAATCTTTACAAAGATTAACAAGATAGATTTGATATACTAGTGATACAGTTTACTAAAATGTACTACAAAAAGTACTGTGCGTAAAATACAGAAAAACAATAGTATAGCTTAGGATATAAGATGTAGCATCAGACATTACTGAAAAAAAAAATTAAGTTTATTGTCTTACCCCATTATCTACTGGCAAATAAAATGCAAATAGGTTAATGAGTTAAACATTAAGAAAAAAACTTTAGGGGAAAATACAGGGACATAACTACTTATACTCATCTGCAAAATGAAAACTTCATCCTTATAATAACAATTTGAGAGTAACTACCTGTAAGAAATACTTTAACAATACCCTTTTCTTCTAGTCTCAAGACAAATCTGAGCTTTGGTTAACTTCCTACTCTATTATGAGGCAAACTCACTTATGGTAAGAGCTGGTCCTGACTGTAAAACTGCTTGTAAATTCAGGGGCTCCAGGACTTCTAGAGACCACAGGGTGTCGGCTGAGATGTCCTCAACCTAATTGGAGGGAGAATGTGCAGCAGGTAAGGGCACTGGACTCTGGAACAGTGACTAGGCTTTAAATTCCGGCTCTACCAGCGGGTTTTAGCTGTGGCAGTTTGTACCTGTGTCCTTGTCTATAAAATGGGGATTATAATAATAGCACCTACCTCATAGGGTGTTTGAGGACTAAGTAAATTAGTACATGTTAAGAGCTTAGTTAATGCCTGCCACACGGCACTATAAAGTGTTTGCTGCTACTGTTAAGATAATCTGACTAGGCTCCCTGATGATCAGGCTGATGCCTTTTTTTTCTTCCTATTTTGTGGCTATTGGAGTGAAAGGCATTCAAAGGGAGTTGGTTTCAGGGTGATAAGGTGTGAAAGACTAGTCTGAAAAGAGAGAGGGTTCAGAATCTACAAAGATAAGCTGTGTTTTGACTTTCCAATGCAAAGAAACACCGGGGTCTCTGAATTTTATGGTTAATGTTTACACAGCACTTACTTTGTCAGGGAGTAGTACTGTTCTAGTATCTTATATAATAAAAGCCCAATATGCTAAGTGTCCAGTCATCTGTTCAACTAATCAAAGCGTAATATGCTAATGATATGCTAAGGCCGCTCACCTGCTCAATATGATGTGCACTGACCACCAGGGGATAGACAAGTCGACTGGTTGACCAGTCACTATGACGTTCACTGACCACCAGGGGGCAGATGATCTGACCATAAGGTTAGCCTACTGCTAGGGTCTAGTCAATAGGGACTGAGCGAGATGGGCCAGACACCCTGGAGCCCTCCCACAGTTCCTCCCCAGCCCTGATCATGCATGGGTGGGGTTCCTCGGCCTGGCCGGCACCCTCTTGCAATCCGGGACCTCTTGGGGGATGTTGGAGAGCCAATGTCAGCCCGATCCCGCAGGCCAGGCTGAGGGACCCCATTGATAATCTAATATGTGCACCAGGCCTCTAGTCTTTACATATATTAACTAATTTAATCCTCATAACATGAGATAGATTCTATTATTTATTATGATCCCCATTCTGTGGATGAGAAAGCTGAAGCAGAGAGAGGTTAAATAATTATTCTCAAGTTTGGTAAGTGAAAGAACCATAATTCACATCCAAGCACGGCAGCTCAGGCTCTTACCTGTTAACCACACTACCCTCTTCTGCTATCAAATATTCTCCCTGTAACAGCCTTTCCACTTAAAATGCATTTTGATGTGAAGTAACAAAGAAAAATTCAAAGCCCAAGTAGAGAGACTTAAGAACTGCTTTGTGTGCATTAGGTCCCTGCTGTACTTACATAGCCGTGCCCAGCTGAGAGCATGCCAGCATGAAAGGGCTGCTGGTTCACCCCGCATGCTACCAAGGCATCTGCGTGCACTTCTAAGAAGAAATACTATTGTATGCAGCCCTTTTCCCAGGGATGAAAATCTTTCTTGCTCCTATTTCAAATGTTTTTCAGGGAATGATGTATCCACTTTTAAGATTATACCTTTTTCTCTGTTTTGTGTGTGTGTGTGTGTGTGTGTGTGTGTGTGTGTGTGTGTGTGTCTCATTAAGGTTTCACTTTCTTTCGGTTTGATTCCCATGCCCTAAGTTCCTATGCTCTCAAGGCAAGAGCTCCTTTTGAAGTGAATGGACTAGTGACAAATATTGAAGATCATTCTGTGGGAGGGGAAAAAAAATCAGGCTGTATCTGATTAATACATAACAGAGATAAAGATCTTCACATACAGCTGTGGGAAATAATTTCAAAGAGCCCACAATGAACTGTTCCGGATTTTATAACAACCTGGTGAAAAGTCATAAAAATAAACTTGAAAGGAAAACTGCAGCAAGGGAGGAAAAAAAGAAGCTCCAAGATGGTCAGGGTTAAAAATGATATCCAATTTTAGCGTGATGAAAATGTCTTTGCTCACAAAGAATTTACTGTGTGCTAGACTGAACTGTTTAGCCAAAAGATAAATAATGTGTAGAGATCCTTTCTGCACTGTTAACAAGACCATATTAAGAGGGCACATCTTAATTTATCTTTTTCCTTTTGGAAAGTTTTCAGACCTAAGTTAAATGAAGAGTATGATGGAAATAAAAGTCCTATTCTGCAGTTATCTTTATTTTTCAGTGAATTATTTGGCAAGTTAGAAACCATACACACCTCTTAGGACTGCTACAAAAAGTACATATGGATTGACTCTAATAAGATGAATACTAACAGAGACTGGAAATCAGGTATGAGAATTTTATAGTTAAAAAAGGAAATCTAAAAAAAATTCCTACTGAGGTTATCCCTTTAAGCAAAAAATGTAACAGAGCACATCTATGGAAAAAAATGTGCTGCAATAAATTGATCTGTAAAATGGTTATCTATAAAAGAAATTCCATTTTTCATTACTTGTAATGTCACAGAACTATTCCCAAAAAAACCTTCCTCCAGAGGGGTTAGTTAAGCACTTCTTATAAGAGAGTAATTAAGAGAATTCAGTGCAGGGCAGACACGGTCTTAGTACTGACCAGACAGCAGTGGTAAACCCCCTACCAACTCACTTTTTGCAGCAAATTCCTGCATTCAAAATCACTTTCCCATAATCAGATGCAGTCTGTTCATCTTTCTTTGGACCTGGGCATGCTGGCTTTGCTTGGAAATGCAGGAATTCCTCATGTCCAGCTCTTATACATATGGGTCCTAGCTCTGGCTTTGATCTACACAATATACTTGGAGAATTACAAAATGGAAAGGGAACCCATTAGGGTTTAGGTTCTACCATCAACCACTGGTCCTACACAATTCAACTATGTTTCTTGAGCTTCAGTTTACTCATCTATAAAGTGGGCTGATGTTTGGATTAGAGGACAGAATAAATACAAAAGCATTTGCAAACTATAAAATAACATATGAGAAGTACACAATAAGCATTTCACATACTGGGTGAATAAAATCTGTGTACCATATTATTAAATTTTCAAGGCGGTTTATCAAATATCTTAAGTTGTCAGTCAAGACAAAGGATACATTTTAATGGGGTATATTTATATGAGATATACTTTATTTCACTCTTACTTCATAAAAAACAATCTTAATAAGGAGCTTTAGAAAACAAGAACTTTTATTTCATTCTATTAAGTACATTACATTTTTGAAATTCTCATTTGATGTCAAGTTTGAAATTTACAAAAAATAGAAAAATTATAGCAAATTTATAGTGTAAGGGGGCAAAAAGAAAGGAAAAGATTAGAAAAGATTTCTGGCATTCAAACTGGCTCCTAACCCAAGCCAAACACCATGTCTGGCATCAATCAATGAACTCAGTTCCTCCTTAATTTGAAGAGTGTAAGTTCAGTTCTTTGGGCTTTCCTAGGGCAAAAGTATCATAAATGCTCAAATCCACCTGGTTTAAAATATATCTGTCTTCATCCATGGGATGTGAACTATATATACATCCTTCCAAACATTAATGCTGCTCCTCAAAAGTTTCTTGGGTTTTTCTGATACCTTCCATGCAGTACCTTCTCTAGTATAACAGAATGACAGTCCAATCCTGCATTCTCCTCTCTAGTCAATGCTTTCTACCTCCAGTCCCATAGTTTGAAATACTATTGTACTGATTTGTAATATATATATATATATATATATATATACTTTGACTACTCAGCACATCTCCTACACTAATATTTACATTTGGATATCTAATTGATATCTCAAAGCAATTATATCCAAAATGAACCTACAGATCCTACTTTCCACTCAAACTTTTTGTTCCTACATTCCTTCCTCAGTAAGTGGAAGAGCATTCTTCCAGAGACTCAAACCAAAAATCTAGGCGTTATGCTAAATTTCTTCCTTATCCAACTAAATTAGCAAGCCTACTTGCCAAACATATATCAAATCCCACTCAGTTTTTTCCTTCCAGTTCCATTACTAATATGCCATCAAAACCAGCCATCATCTCCTGTCTAGACCTCTGCAAAATCCCGATAACCCAATGCCTTTCTTTAATCTGTTCTCTGCATAGGAACCAGAATAATTTTAAAATATACACCAGACCATGCGACATACTTGCTTAAAGACTCTTCAGTGACTTCCCACTGTCAAAAGAATAGCATCCAAATTTATTGCCAGGACAAGGCCCTGCAGGGTCAGTCCTGCATCCCAGCCTGGCCATGCTCCAGCTACATTGTGTCTCAATTTCTCCACCACAACAAGTTCTTTCTCATCTCATAGTCTTTCTACCCACTTTTCTCTCATTGGCAATGCTCTTCCTAAAGCTCTTCAGGCCTGATTATTTCTTATTCTACAGGTGTTAGCTCTATTGTCACCACCTTAGAGAAGCCTTTTTTCTTTGCCTACCCTATGTAAAGTAAGCTACTCTCCTTATTTTCCCCCATTTTATCTTCTATGTTACTGTATTCATTTCCTTTAAAACACTGACCATATTCTCAAATATTCTTATTTGTTTATCAGTTAAGCATATTTTCCCTAAAACTATAGATTAAAGGGATATAACCTTGCCTATATTACTACTGTTGTATGTCTAGCCTACCAGAGTACCCAGCACCTGGTAGGCACTCAAAAATATTTACTGATAGAATAAGTAAACAAACATGGCAAGATATCATTTTTTAGAGCTAGGTTTTATATTTAAAAATTCTCAGCCTTTCTATTATTCTTTTTGAGAGAGAGATCTATTATTCTTTTTGTTTAGGAAAAAAAAAAAAAAAACTTAAGCACAAATATAATTACTCCTATGCAGTATTCTGAAATCAAAAGTATATTGAAAGAAAGCAAATTTTATCTATACTTTCACTTGGAACTTCTGACAGTAACTTTAGAAAAAGTTTATTCACAATTGAAATGTGCTGATTCCAAGAAATAAGCTATTCCAAGCCATCAAACCATTTAACTTTCTCTTTGAATCCTGAACTGAGTTCTGCAATCAGACCAGATTTCACATGCCAAATGAAGCACTTTGGAATGAGAACAAGGAAACAATAATACTTTGCATTTCTCCATATAATAAACTTGGTTTCCTGAAATCAGAGGATAAGACTAAAATCCATCATCATCTAGAAATGACCGCTCAGGTATGATAAAAAGCAGAACATGCTAAGTTTCCATTTCCCTTTCCAATTCCTAAGAATCTCACATCCTATAATAGACTTTATTCATCTTGATTTCCTTTTCATCAATAAAATGTCAGTGCTAAAAGGCTGTAACAACCAGGAAATAATTTTGAGCAATTTTGACTTTCCTGTTGAGAACTATTCTGGCCCACTAGTCACAAGGGACAAGAAACAGGAAAACATAAAATCCTCCTCTTTACAATGCCAGCTTGGGGTTGTTCCAGAAGTAAGCCTTTGGGGTTCATGTGTGTGGTACTCAGATCAGGGCAAAGCAAAATGCATGAGAGGGAATGGAAAATGCTTATAGTGGTCTCTGCACTGACTTGTCCAACTCTGGCCTGAACCTTACCGCACACATTTATACATACCAAAAAGGTAAGAATAAAAGCATTTAGAAAAGAATGAGTGGTGCATATGCAATGGAAATAAGACTCAGTAGATATAGGAAATCAAATACCAGATAGTTTAGGGCAGTGGTCGGCAAACCACGGCTCGTGAGCCATATGTGGCTCTTTGGTCCCTTGAGTGTTCTAAAGCCACTTCTTCAAAACAGATTCGCCCAGGCCGAAAACCGACTTCTTCGCATGGGCCATGAAGTTTCAATCACACTGTATGTGCACACCCACATGTGGTATTTTGTGGAAGAGCCACACTCAAGGGGTCAAAGAACTGCATGTGGCTCACGAGCCAAGGTTTGCCGACCACTGATTTAGGGAATTCAAAAAAAAGGGGAGGAAGTTGCTTTTCAGTTATAATGAAGCAGGATAAATGCAAAAAGAATATGAAACACAGATGTTTTTGTATACCAGAAAAATTTTCACGTAAACCGTGTAAATATTTTAAATTTATAAACATATCCACTGAACAAATTTATTTCATACTTTCAATACTTCATAGCCTTTGCAAAGAGACCTAGAGTGGATGCGTTATAAAAAAAAGCAGTGAAAGCACACAAAAAGATGACTATTCCATTTTCTTTCAGCCTTTTATAGTCAACTTGTCTATAAGGATATTTCCCAGAAAGGATTCCCCAGTGAACTGTTAAATTAATCATGTTACCCAAAACCTCCTGCAATGGCATTACTTTGCATGTACAGGGAGCAGGCCAACTCTTTTTAATCTGGTCAATGGTTATGTCCTACAAGACAGACCTACTTATAAGGCCCTAAGAGAGGTATACAAATACTAGAAATTTTAAAAGAATGGGTAACTTATATTGTTTCAACCAATGTTACCTTTTTTCTTTAGATTCTAATTGAAAACTATAAATGTGTGCTGGCTTACCAATTTTTTTAACTTCTTCAGCAAAGTATGGGTCATTCATATCAACATCAGAAGGAAGTTCATCTTCACTGGACTCTTCAGCAAGAGCCTAAGGTTGAATGTAAAACACATACAGTTTATTATAAGGACCAGCATATATATATATATATATATATATATATATATATATATACACATATATATATATGTATATATATATATGTATATATATATATACATATATATATATATATATATATATATATATATGTATGTATGTATGAATCTCTGAACACATAATAATCTGGCCACTCAGTGTATATCCTCCTATATAATAAAAGGCTAAGATGCAAACTGTCCCCTCAATCAGGAGTTCAACCAGCAGGCAGGCCGGCCAACTGCCGATGTCCCCACCCCTTGGCCAGTCTGGCCGGACCCCACCCATGCATGAATTCATGAACCGGGCCTCTAATATATATACATTGAGTGGCCAGATTATTATGAGTTCAGAGATTATAATAATCTGGCCATTTAGTGTATATGTGAAGAAAAATAATACGCTTTCTTTCAAATCACATTTAAATTAAAATAATTTAATTAAACCAGTTAATTAGTTGTTCAGTTTATAAAGTATGAGTTATTCTTTTGTTTGTTCAACAAGTATTTGTGGAACACTTAATAAATGCAGGAAACTATGTTAGGCAATGGGGAGAAATGGAAGTTATCAGATACATGGTTTATATCTTCAAAAATTTTACAATCTATTAATAGAAATTAGACACAAATAGACATATACATCAGTAGTAATAATTCAAGATAGGAAATGCAAAAAGAGACAAAAATAAAATGATACAGACATTAAAAGGAGGGAAATATTTTCAGATGGCTAGTCAGTAAAGAGAGGTGGCCTTCTCTCTCAGAAAATTGAGAAATAGCAGTGTGCTATTAATAGTATGAAGTAGTACATTGTGGGTTATCTTTTAAAAATATATATATATTATTGATTTTTTACAGAGAGGAAGGGAGAGGGATAGAGAGCTAGAAATATCAATGAGAAAAGAAGCATCGATTAGCTGCTTCCTGCACATCCCCTACTGGGTATGTGCCTGCAACCAAGGTACATGCCCTTGACTGGAATCAAACCTGGGTCCCTTCCGTCCACAGGCCGATGCTCTATCCACTGAGCCAAACTGATAGGGCTATCTTCTAAATTATTATTTAAAATACTTTATATGTTGGTTAATTAAAAATAATGGTTATTTTGAAAATTCAAATTATTGTAAAGTAGTAAGAATAGTCCCTATTTGTTTTTATCAACCAAATTTCAAAAAATATCTTTTTTAATCCACAATCTACCTCTAAAAACTCTTGGGCTATTTTTAAGCAAATCTTTTAGTTAAGTTTCTGCTAATCAAATGTGAATAGGCTATCTACTGAATTAGCATGTTTAATTAAAAATTCAAGTCTATAAAATAAATAGAACATATGGGAACTAAGACCAGACTTGAGTTTATTCCCAGGAATTTAAAACATGAGTTTAACAGAAGTATCTAGAATGCACATTGCTAAGCATCATCCTGCATGCTGAAGAAGACCCAGCAAGCCCAAACACATTCTTTATGATATTAATATCTTTTTAAGAACTGGGCATCTAAAGTTTTTTCACTAAAATATTATAAGATTCAGCAATAATATGTTTCTATCAAAGATTATGGAATATCTAACTTCATATCTATTCATGTATAACTGTTTTTTTAGATTTAAACTATACTTACTATCAACCATGGCACATAAATATATTCATTCCTTCAATAATCATTTCTCAATATCAAAATTAAAGTCACAGAGTAGAAAAGAGGAGAACTGTTACTTGAAAATATTTCTTGAAACCCTTGTACATATGGAGAACCTGTAGAGTTGGAAGGGATCTGCTGGTATCACCAAGTACAGAGCATGGAGTATGGAACAAACTGGGTGTATTTTTAATATTATTGGTAAAATATGTCCAGTCTAAGTCTAATGAAGGGAAGGTGCCTAGCAAATGAAAATCAAAGTTATAATTTATTTTATATAAATAAAATCAAATAGCTGCTAAAGGTCTCAGAAAAAAAGAACTATTTTACCAACCCTATAGAGACCCACTTGTAAGTCTTCCAATAAACTGATGGCTTAATGAGTTGTGAAATTATTCTGCCTACTCAGTTTAAAGAAAGTTCTAGAGAAGGAGAAGTAGCATACCAATAATGGGGTAGGGGTCTTACCCCTTTCCCTAGCCATTTCCAGAAATACTGACTGTAGGAGTACAAAAATCACTGTACTCCATTGTATCATTCAATTCTGTAGCTATCTTTATATGCACTGGAAGTCACAGCTTCACAAAAGTATGAGAGAGAGAGAACACAATGTAGTAGAGAGAGACTGGAGTGAGAGAGGTGGATTTTGGGCTCAGACACATCACTTAATTTTGTACAACTGTAAAACATCAGGGACAGACTAGAACTAATCATTTAAGATCCCTCAAGTTATAAAAGTATGTGATTAGAGATACCATCTTAAGAAAATGACTTTACTGCTAGAATGCTGCACTTGCTGACAAGAGTATTTTTAGTGGCAAAACCCTTAAGTGGTTTCTGCTATCACTAAGAAGCTAGCTCTGCAATGACTTAATGACAACTTTTAAATGCATATATCCTCAAGTAAAGAAATCTATATGTACCTCTCTTCCTCAAAAACAAGAGAAAATCAAGCTGCTTTACATCCAGACATGAACTAAACGCAAAATTTTAGAGTACAGCGGCTGTAGATTAAAGTGGCTCTGTTTTTTTTTTTTTTTTTTATCAGACATTGTATAACTTTATGTAGCCTCACAGAAAACAAACTATTGGATTTTCCTTTTCGTCTTTCTTAAAACTGCAATGGTAACAAAACCTACCAGAGTGGTTACACTGTGTGATAATAGGTGCTAAGCACCTGGTACTGTTTCATACATGGTTGTTCAATAAGTATTTGGCCATAATTATCTTTGATACCTTCTGTTTCTTTTTCAGTCTTTTTTTCTCCTTCTTCTTCTCTAAAAATTGTTCCCAAGGGGTCAGTTTATCTTTTCCTTCCAATTTGTTTTTGACCATCTCTTCTGCACTTTCTTTAAGACCTAAGGAAAAACATAAAAAGTTATATTTAAAATGTAATTTACAAAAAATGGTAATTTATACATATTTAATGGAATAATAATGTAAAATGCAAAAGTGAATTTTGCAATACTATAAGATCACAAGATAGTGTAGGATTGACTTATATCAAAGTATTTCCTACCGGTAGTAGCAAACAACAATAAACCTAACCAAACCAAAATAAATAAACAAACCCATCAACTTAATATATTGTATGATCAAGCCACTGAAGAAAATCCTTTATTTAGCCTCAAATTTCATTTCTCTATACTAATTGCTTTGAGATTCTAGTAATCCTGGAACAGGTCATCAACAAAAGCTGATTAGTAAGGCAACCCCTGTTGCAATACCCCAGGAAGAAAGCATTCTCATAATCACTCCTCAAGCACTCTGTGAGGCCACATCTTTAAGATCAAAAGGACCACTAAGTTCACATTCCACTTTGTATGGTTTAACTCTTTCAATGTTGAATGTTGTTATTTGCGATTATATTTCATTAGACTCTAAAGGTCTTTGTTTCTTGTAGCTCCTGAATGTTTCTAGGTGGCTTATGTAATAGCTGGAGTGCATGAGAAAGTTAAAAAAAAAAAGTCCCAAGGCTGATAATATCAATCCATGGAGACCCTCATTATTGTTTGTCAAAGTACAGAAAATATGACCACTGTGTGGTCCCCTTTAATAATAAAAATGTTTATTTTACTTTGTAGTATTTCTTTGGAGGTCATTGTTGGGCTTGGGGAAGAAGAGGTTTCATATTTATATGATACAAAATCCCTTTAAAAAACATTAATAAAATGATTCAAAATGCTGACATGGTCGATCCAGATAATTTTCCCAGATACATTTTAAATTCTAAGACAAATGAAAACAATCTTAAAGATATAATAATTCCCATTTTCCCTGAGATTGAGAGTTCAGTAACTTGCCTAAGAACATGCAGCTAAGAAGCTAAACAGATGAAATGTGACTACCTGGTTATCCTAAATACCATTACCAGATACATCTGGAAAGCTGGTTTGACTTAGAATAAAGAAATGGATAGCCCATGAGTAAAATCTAAAGCTTTGGGCCTCAGGTTTGTCACCTGCAAAATGAGGTTGGTCTAGAACACAAGCATGCAACTGCCCCTCCCAAATACAACATTTTCTCCCCTCAAAGAACATATCTGGTAGAAATTTAAATATATACAACTAAAAGTAGTGCTTTGAATCTTGAGCCCCGAAGGGAAGCATAAAACAAGTATAACAGATGATCTCTATGGTCCCTTTCATAGCTTTTAAACCCTGATTTAATCTCCAAATTTCTATGACTTAGAAAAGTATTATATTCTATGTATACTCAAAGTTATATAGATTTGTTTTTATGACATACTGCTGGTATGATCTGATTCATTGAATGCCAAATCAGAAACATAATTCTCTATTTTAAAATGCTGCTTATAAGAAAAACACAATTCCCTTTACTGAGCAGATTTTAGGAGAAATGTGAAGTGTATAAAACCATGTCGAGATCTCTGATTGAATCAAGAGTTACACAGCACCTAGGTCCAAATCTTTGACCGAATCAAGAGATACACAACACCCAGGAAATATAAACTGGGATCTGCATTTGACAGAAAGCAGCAAATCCTTACAAAATAAGTTGATTTCAAATAACAAAATGAAATAACATATATTATGCCAAAAGACATAAGCGAGTTTCACATTCTAAATGTACAGTATTATATTATTATGTATGTTTAAATAATAGTCTTTAAGGTATTCTACTACTGTATAATTTCCAAAATTAAGATTTTATTACTCCAAAATATTAAGTATTATGCTTAGATATTTTTTCAACAAATGCATTCTGATTATAATCATGCATCACATAATAACAAGGATACTTTCTGAGAATTCACGTTGGGCAGTTTTGTTGTGTGAACATTGTAGAATGCCCTTACACAAACCTCTATACTAATTGCTTACACAAACCTGGATGGTATAGCCTACTCACACCTAGGCTTATAGTATAGCTTATTGCTCCTAGGCTACAAACCTGTAAAGCATGTCATTGAACTGAATAATGTAGGCAACTATAACACAATGATAAGTATTTGTGTATCTCAACATATCTAAACATAGAAAATCCTACATAATAAAAGCCTAATATGCTAAATGTCCGACCGTTTGGCTGTTCAGCCACTTGGCCAGTCACTATGATGTGCACTGACCACCAGGGGGCAGACACTCTGACCAGTAGGTTAGCTTGCTGCTGGTGTCCAGCTGATGGGGACTGGGTGAGATGGGCCAGAGCCCTCCTGCAGTCCCTTCCCAGCCCAATTGTGCGCCGGTGGGGTCCCCCAGAATGGCCTGTGCCCTCTCGCAATCCAGGGCTCCTCAGGGGATGTCAGAGAGCCGGTTTCAACCCAATCCCCACAGGCCAGGCCGAGGGACCCACCAGTGCACGATTCCGTGCACTGGGCCTCTAGTATGGTATAAAATAAAAATGTGGCATAAAAAAATTAAAAATAGTACATATAGGACTCAGAAGTTGTTTTGGTGAGCCAAAGAGTGAGTGGTAAGTGAATGTGAAGGGTGAGGACAATACTATACAACAGTGATTTTTCAACTATGGCACACTGGTGTGCCATAAGAATTTTTAAAACATGCATACCTGTCTATTCCATCAGGGGCACTGACCTCTTTTCCCTTAGAGTGTCAAATAAAAAAGTGACAACAGCTGACACGACAGCTGTCCAGTGTGAATGAATCAAAATTATACCTATTTTTTGCCAGACTGACAAAAAATGTATTTTTGGTGTGCTGCAGAAATTTATTAATTAGTTTATGTGTGCCATGAGATGAAAAAGTTTGAAAATTACTGCTATATAGAACTGTAATTTATAGACTTTATAAATACTGTGCACTTAGAACTGTAGACTTTAGAAATACTGTGCACTTAGGGTACATTACATTTACTAAAAAATCTTTTGCTCCAATAATAAATTAACGTTAGCTTACTGTAACATTTTTACTTTATAAACTTAAAAATATTTTTTTAATCCTCACCCGAGAATATGTTTTCATTGATTTTAGAGAGAAAGAAAGAGGAAGGAAGAGAGGGAGGGAAACATGGATGTGAGAGAGAAACATGTATCTGTTGCTGTCCATCTGTGCCCTGACCAGAATTGACTCCACAACATAGGATCGAACCTGCAACCTTCTGGTGTGCAAGACGATGCTCTAACCTACTGAGCCAGCAGGTCAGGGCGTTAATTTTTTATTTATTTATTTTTTTTTACTTTGACTCTTTTGTAATAACATTTATTTTAAAACATAAAAACACTATACAGCTACACAAAAATATTTTCTTTCTAAATATCCTTATTCTATAAGCTTTTTTCTATTTTTAAAGCTTTTAATTTTTAAAAACTTTTAAGTTTTGTTGTTGTTGTTAATAACTAAAACACATAGGCCTACAAACCTCCACATCTTATTCTACTGGAAGATCTTTAGGGGCAATAACAGGCATGGAGCTGTTTTGGCTTTTCTTGGGACATAACTTGAGAATTTGATAAAAGCTGTGTAATCCTTCCCTGAAACAATGTGCTGAAAAAACTTGCATATTATGTTCAGGAGATTATAGATACCCAATGTGCATCTATATGTAAGGATCCAAGGGCCTCAGGTAAAGAACATTTATAGGGGCTGTTAGAGGTCTAAGGGAAGATGGGAGTTCATGTTCAACAACTTCAAAACTGATCAACATAGACATTTGTAGGTTTTACATCAGGGTTATTCATTTTAGCATTATCATTTAGGACCAGGTACATTCTCTGTTGTGAAGGATAATCCTGTGCAATATAGAATTTTTTAGCAATATCTCTGGCCTACCGGCTAGAAGCTGATAGCCCCAGTTGTGAAAATACAAATTGTCTCCAGACATTAGCACATGTCCCCTTGGGGGACAAAATCACCCCTCATTGAGAACCACTGTTCTAGACAATTATTAGAAGACATTTCTGAAAACAAAGACTATTTCATTATTTGTATTATAAACAAAATTGGGTTCTTTTGGTATTTGATTATATAATGTCTTTTCCACTTCAGAAGTTTCATCTGAGTATGCTTTTTATTCCAACTAGACCAAAGGCAACTTAAGTCACCTTCTTTTGTATTCCATAATATTTAGGACAGTGCCAGACACAGACTAAGTACTTAAGCACTTAACTGATTTGTCTTGAAGGAAGGATTCTTATTTCAAGCCAACTGTTTGATCTTTGATGTTTCGAACATGTTCTCTCCAACAGAAAATGAATCAAAACTTTAACATCTAAATAAATGGCCTTTATCCCAAGCAATTCATGTGGTTTTTAAAGGTCCTATAGCTCTAGAATAATTCATGAAATATTTATTTCCAGGAAATATTTTATATTTTTCTGGCATTTAGTTTGTTTACAACAATAAATAGCATCTTCAGTTAAATGCTGTATTATTTTTTGCTGGGCTTTCACATAATACACCAAAAGAGTAGAATGACAAATACATTGCCATGGATTAACAGCCCCATGATAACTTAAAAATGCTTTGTTCTCATCGTCATTATGAGGTCATTTAAATCTCTTGCCACAGATCACAGTTGTTTATGTTCTAAATTTTCAAAAATATGCCCATCCCAGAAGCCTCTTGGCATACACACAAGAACATTCTTCAGAGAGTTTTAGCTTCATCTGAGAGCAGCCACTATGTGAATGAAAAACAACTATGTTTTAAGTTTTTCACAGATTTGTTTAAAAAAAAATTTAATGTATACTCAAGGACTGCCAGATTAGTTAAAAATAGCATCAATAATCTTACAAATAAGGGGTAAAAAGACTCTTTCAAAGCCAACCATGAACACAGATGACACAATTATGACAATAATAATTTAAGTGCAATCCATTCAGAATTGTTTTGGTAATTTGCATATATAGAAAAATACTGTAGAATATCCTTTGAAA